TATATATATATATATATATATATATATATATACACACACACACGTATGTGCATATTATATAATTAAAATGTAATTGTATTTTACAAAATAATCGTATGCTAAGTTACATATTTTTTACTTTGTAGGCCAGTTTTACCATGTAATGGTAAACTTGTCTATTAAACATGTGTTTTTCTTCTATTCAGCTGCAAGGTGCATATCTCACAACCATTTTTATTTTTATCTCTATCACACAGACCAACTCAGTAAATTTCCCAATAGATCTCTACTAGAACTAATTTATTTAAAATTTTGATTTTCTGTGTACGACATAATTTTTTACGTTTACTGAAACGTCAAATTTTGTGAAGATATACAAAGTAAATTCAAAATTATACTAATAGCTAATTCTACAGTATGGGCTCAGTCCAGTGGACCGGGCCTACGTATGTAGAGTTAATTAAGGAAGTTTTAAGTTCAATATTCTGTTGTTTTCTCTAAGTAATAGGATTGTTCAAGGGAGTTTACAATCCAGGGAGAGGCAATTTTGGAGGGTACAGTTTTTTAATTTAGAAAGTTATGTTGTTTTGGCAAAGAGAGGTTTGATGTCATAATGAGCACGTGGTTTCTTGTCTGGAATCTTCTGTAAATTTTTTAAACATTTTGATTAGTGTATAAAATGCTAGTTAAACTAGAGTAGATAATGATTAATTGTTGTGTTAGGAAGTTTTAGTCATTTCATCTGTTATTGTTAATTAGTTCAGTTTTATGAACACGTGAGTTTGTGATTCAATGAAGAAATAAAGATATGGGAAAGTGCTTTATGTGAGTGAAATTGTTGTATTAGTGTTTTTTGTCAACTTGACCTATAAGACAATGTTAGGTAAGCTAATTTGTAGTCAGAGAAATAATGCTTTAATTATCACTAAGTGGACTGGACTTTGCATTACTGTTAAAACAGTACTGTTTCAAGGGTTAATCAGTAATTTTTAAATTGAAAACTGGATAGAAAATTAACCTAATTGCAGAAGTAGTGGGTGTTGAAATTTACATTTCTCTGATTTGGAATCAAGTGTTGAGTGTTTTTTTTTCAAGGATCTATATTACAACTTTGCTAACTAGGCATTAATATTTCCAAATTTGCTGAGGATACTAAATAGAGATGTTTGATGGCTTTGATTTATTGATATGATTGATTAATTATGATCATCAATTATTGTCACAAAAATAACCAACTAATCAAAAATTAGTATTTAAGATTGTTGCTGTTTTTAATTTATCCAATTATCTAAGTTAATGAAATATTGCCAATATGTATTGCTCATTATTTTTTCATAATTGAAGTTTAAAATTTTACTCTGTTTATCCAGTTTATCAAGTTTACTTTTAATTTTGACAGAGTACTTCCTTTCATCGTAATAATTGAAGTTTATTGAAATTAATCAAATAGCGTCATAAATTAAGGTTTCTATTTATTACTATTTTTATCTATTCCAATTATCTATTCAATTGAAATATTCTCATTATGATTTCTTCTCATTTTATTATTAATGCAATTTTGTTCAGTTTTGGGCTGGCATGGCCAGATGATTATGGGGGTTGTTTCAGGTTTGATTCTCATTGCCACCAGATACTTCACCCTTTAAGCCATGAGGCATTATATTTGTTTGTTTTTCTATAATGGTAAAAAAACTATGAAGGCTAACTGTCACTATCTCTAATTTTGAACTTTCAACCAGAAGGAAGTCATCTGGCTAGCAGTACCTTGGGCTACTTTAATGTTAAATAATATATAAATTTATTGTTATTGTTACATTGTGTTATTTTTCTAACTTATAACTGTGGAACTGTATTCTTTCATTTTTAATAAGGTGTAAAATTACTGGTTTTACAGTATGTTACATTGAAATTTATAATTTGAGTAACTACTTTCGTTATTGTCACAAATTTGTATCATGATGGAAGTTGTGACAGGCATTGGTATGTCTCAGACCTGCAACTCTGATCATGGGGCAAATGTTTGTGAAGTAGTATTCATTATCTGCTCAGTCATGCCAGACTTTTAACCATGTAATAAATTACAAATGTAAATGTACTAATTTATTTTCAATAAACAATAACAAATAATTAAATTAAGTATTAAAATTTGCAAGTATCAATCATTTTAATCAGGTAACATAAAAACATAACATATAATTTTTTTATGTAGTATTTTATATCAGAAATAATAATAATATATCCTTCCAAAGGACTGGGGAAAAAAAATGTTTGCAGTAACTTTACTGACCCTAGATAAAAAAGCTCACATTCCAAAAGTTTTACATCTTTTTTCTCTAAAGTGTCCAAAGAGCATAACTATGTTTAATGATTGGCAACATTTTCACCAGTGTTACTTGTGTGAACAAGTTTCATGATTAACCTGTACACAGAACATAACTTTGGTCAGAAATAGCTTGATATTACATTTTGAATTGATAAATGTTAATGAAACATTAAGAAAACTTTTATAATATGCAATGAACTACAAGATTTACTCAAGTGTGGACCACATTTTCTTAAGGAAGATCAGCTATTATAAATAAATACATCAATAAATATATATAAACGTATATTAAATATACAAGTAGATATTAATATTTGTTGTATGATAATATATTTATAAGTTTACCCACTGTGACTGTAAGGTGACAACTAGGACTGACATTGGGAACTCTACCAAAATCTCTCTAATGCTTATTTTATATTAAGTTCATTATTGTTTTAGAGTGTTGATTTTAATCACCTATTAACAATTAATGTAATTAATAGTATTGGAGTTATTTATTTCATTATACATTTACTGTAAATAGGTTTTCAGGTTCATCATTATTAGTTCTCCATATCTTCAATGCTTCAGTGTAATGTTGAGCTTCCATTTCAATATTTGGAACCACAAACTGTCTTATTGTGCTAGACCAACCTTTTCATCACTGCCTCTGTTCAGTTGAAGTGCAGTTGTGGATGCCTGATCCATTTGTGGCATCTAGCCTACTGAGGAAAGGTTTATTTTTCTGTATATGTCCTCCAGATTGGGGTTGCTTTACAGATTTGCTGTCATCCTCTGTCTTGTTATTCAGGCCTTCTTATCATGATTCATTTGGATATCTCCTCTGTTATTTCTTCCATCCCTTGACAGGGAGGCACTTGCTTCTGGGACTTCTGTTTTCCTGACTCTGAAAAATAACACATATCTTTGTGTGTGGCTTAATCTTTTGAGAATAAAGTACAGTATTTGTTAAAAATAATTAATTCTGTCACCAGAATAGTATTTGTTTAATTTATAGTTTCAATGTCATGAACTAGATTTGAGGGAAGTGTATACAGAATGATACTACATTGTTATTTCTTTTAAGGTTCCTTATGAAATACTCAACAAGAAATTCCGAGCTGCCCAGAAGAGCTTGGACCGAGAGGTGTCCCATGTTCAGAATGTGTCATCTGACTTGGAGAAAGGTCTTCAAAAGAAATCACCTACAGTTGGAGAGCTGCAAGTCTTGTTGGGAGGAATGGTTGAAAAATTAAACATTTTAAAAAGAAAGGTGAGACATGATAGTCTCATAAAGTAAAACTGGAAAAACTTGTATATCACCAATAGCTCATTTGAAGTACTTAATATTTGATGCTGTTATACCTATAATTCATGAAATATCTAACAGTTTAAAGCTTCATAAAGCATGCAATGATTTAGATTTAAACTAAGAAAAGTTTAAGTAGTAGAAGTAAATAGGAATATTTGTGGGATCATTTATCTCATTTCAGCTGGGCAAAACTTTGGATTATAAACATACATATCAGTAAAATCATAGATGAGTTTTGATTCTTCTAGTGTTATTCACGTGTAGTACATTAAAAACCAACTTATCTGTCATGCTAATGCATATTTGAATTACTGCACAAATAATAGTCTTTGGCAACGTTTTATGATATTTTTGGTACCACAGACTGGCTTGCTTTCTCCCTTAACTGTTGGGGTGCAACAAAAAATTATATTACCTAATTATACAGAACACAGGAGTCTATGGCAACATTTTTCAATATCTTTAGTTCCAAGAACTAGCTCATATCAATTTTATTTAATGCACAAGCTGCTCGCAAGCATACCTTGTGAAGAATTATTATTATTATTTCACTATCTTACCTAACCTAATTAAGTTTCTAATTTTTACATTTTAGTTACTTTTATAATACTAAATCAAGAATGCACATGAAAAACAAGAAATATAGTACTTACCTGGGTCGTCGTCTTTTTTCTTTTTCTTTTTTTGCTGTTGGCTGTCGATGAAACTTAAGTCTCTTTTTTATACTAATGGTACTACTATATTAAATAATTGTTTATTTAATTAAATAATGATGGTTTCAAGTATTAATTATACAGAACACAGGAGTCTATGGCAATGTTTTTAGATATTTTCAGTTCCAAGGATTGGCTTGCTGTCACGAGTTGATGTTTATTAACATTAACTGGAATGTAATTAATGTAGCTTCATGAAATTTGGCAAGCTTTCAGTAAGCATTACAAGTCTTTACTAAACATTAATCTTTTTTGAATGAATTTAGTGTTTACTGGAATGTTATGTTTGGTTATAAGTTTTTACAAATGTTATTTCTTTTGTAAGGTATGCAGCAGTGTAGTATTTTGAATAAATAAATTTTGTACAAAAACAGTGGAAAACATTATACACAGATACTGCAACCAACCATCAATCCAAAAGTCTAACAACAAAACACAAGTTCATATTTTTGTCTTTAACACTTTCAACAAGATATTTTACTTTTTTATGGTCAACCACCATCACCATACTTACAGAATTGAGGAAAATAAAGACAATTTCATGTTTCACAAATATTTCATTTAGTATGACCATGGTTTTGCCTTTATTGGCAAAACCATAGTTGTAATAAATACTTGTGAAATGTGCAATTGTTTTTGTTTTCTTCTATTCTGCTTGTAAATTCTTCTTTTCAAATGGGCCATCTCTCCTGCTGCTCACACTCAGACTACCATTTGACTTGCAATTTTTAAACTTTTTTTTTAAATTAGTTCAAAGTTCAAGTAATTCTAAGAATAATCATGATAGCTTTTTTGGTACTTGGAGTTGTTAAAAGCTCTTACAGTAGAGGATTTTCTAGCAATTTTAATTTTATTTGAAGTTTTATGTATATGCAATATAATTTTTATAATGAACAAAAGAAGTGTACATACACTCTGGATATCTGGATCAAACATTTAGCAGGACATGTTAGTGACACATCATACCTCAGACACAAAGGTTTTGTGGAACTTAATTTACAAGATGTAGGCAAATAAAAAGAAAAAGGTCAAGAGAGAGAATGTTCATCATGCCAAACAAGTAAGTTATTAAAATTAAGTTCCTGGTGCTTGTACATGTTTGGAATATAATAGATCTATATATGTGATCTTTAAAGTTCCATGAAAACTGAAATTACAATGTAATTTGTGTAAGTCACACTTACTGTGTTGTATCCACAAACTACATACCATACACTTTTATAGCATGTATTTCTTAGCTATTAAATATTGTTTTTTATTTCTAATTTTGGAACATACCAAGTCCAGTTGAGATCATGTATGAAATTCAGTCTAAAGTGGTACTTTCATTTTGAAGCTTGATTGGGCAAGGAACATATTTGCTGTTTCTTAGGGAAGTTACATTGTGTCCTGTTTGACTTCGAGTATAGGGATTACTTTTGTGACTGTGACATTGATCAGAAATACGTTCAGATTCTTGCAATTATGTTTGTGATTGGTCAGTTGTAGAGAGAATGTAAATTGTGAGAATAGTTTGGTGCTTTTAGGGAGATTAGCTTCTGCTTTGAAAGGGTTAAGACCTGTGGTAAAGTGTTGTATTTTCATGTACATTATTTTATATATGGACCATGCATTTTCATATATTAATTTTACATAAGGTAATTGTATAACATAAACAGTACTTAGTGGTATTTGTCAAACTTGTTTGTTTCTTCTCTTTTGCACTTGTTCTCACATTAACATTCCATCCAACCAGATATTCAAACCTCTCATTACTTGGGGATAGTTTACCTGTGTGTCATTATTCCTTTAAATTGGGAATACCACAATGACACTAAGAATTACTGCAAACTCCTAAATTTGTAAATATTGAGATATAAAGCCATAAGAGCACACTGCCATTTAGTAAAAAAATTTATTTTAAAATCTTGAGTGTCTTAATCCTTTCTGGGTTGGTGAACACCTTTTAGGTGTCAAGTGCATATCTACATAACAAATTTCGAAATTTAAGAGAAAATAGTAATTCTAACTATTTCAACATTTTTTTCTCGAAAATATCTAAGAATTGTTATTTTGTAATTTTGTTACTTTTACTTAATCTAAGGCACAAAGAAAAATGAAAAAATATTTTTAAATTTACATTTTTATGCAGCATTGAGAAATTGACTGTAAATAAAGCACTTGTAATTTTTTAGAATTTTTCTGCTTATCCTAGGCTTAGGTTCATATTTGCTAAGAACTTATTATTTTTTAAGAATGTAATTTTCAAAGTTTTATTTCTCACTATATTTTCCTTCTCTTTCTCTGAATTTTATTAATATAGAAACTTGGTTTCCACCCTTTTATAACATTACTAATGAAATTCAGCTTTGAAAATAGCTACAAGCAAAGTTTAACTACCATTGGATAGAGAAGCTTATAAAGTATTTAAATGTCAATGGAAAGTGAATAAAGTGGTGTGAGAAGTGGTTTATTTTTCCATGAGAAAGTAATCACATGTAGCTCCTGCAGAGCAGAACAATAGAATTTAGTGGGAAGTTTAGAAGACTTGGGAACAACCACAGAGTTGAGAATTTTTTGTAGTTAATTGCATGTTCATTTCTCTCCTGAAAATATTTTTGTTTGAAAGTCAACTAAATTTTCTTTGATGACAAGATATCAGGTAGCCTTATTATGGTTAGAGAATACAGTAGTGAAAACATGATATTCAGGTGACTCAAAACATTGTTTATTGAATACTATTGTTAAATATATATATATTGCTTTCAAATAATGCATGTAAATAAAATAACTTGTAATTTATTGAAAACAAAGTATATTTAATATACATAAATTAAATTTGACCATGAATATTCTTAGCAAAAACATTGTTGTCTAGCTTGACTTGACACCATTTTGAAAGGTCAGGTCTTTAGTCACCAATAAATCTTTGTCAATTTATGTTTTTTTTTCATTATTTATAGCTGTAAGTGGTGTCTACTTCAACTAGTAAAATAGAGTTTGAAAATATATATGCTAATGAAAATAAATCAAGTTGAAATTGACTGGGTATATAAAAATGGAACTTTCTAATCAACAACTAACAAAAAATTTAAATTCAAAGATGAAAGGAAGTATTCTCATGTTTTTCTTTCAAAAAGTGTGTTACAACAAGATGTAGGAAATTTCACTACATAAAAAATTATAAAAACTAAGTTGAATTGTATGATTTTTTAGATCTGAAACTGTATACTGTTTATTAAGTTTGTCCTAAGTTTCATGAAAATTGGTGAAGTTTTTCCACTGTGAGAAGGAAAAAATCAAGGGATATCAGTTATCCCCGTACCTACCAAGAAAGGGTGAAACATAATGGAGAATAATCTAACAGTTAAATATATGCAGAAATAATGATATACTTAATTAGCTTTATTTGAAAGAAAAACTATCACCATAATATTTTATTGGTATGAGGACATCAATACTTATTTATTTTTTTTAACTTAATGCTCTAACATATTTATGCTATCAACAACTACTTCTATCAGGTCATCCCATAAGTTCTTTTTGGATTTTAAATAAAGAAAACGAGTGATCAAATCTTACATTTTATTGAAATTTAATCATCAATAGTTTCCATGATTATCTATGACTTCTTTCCATCTACTTACAAGCTTTTTAATCCCACTACTAAAAAACTTTTG